AAAAAAAAAAAAAGAACCCAGGTATATAGGTAACTATATAGGTAAATATAAAAGACAGTATAAATGTATTTTGTATTTATAATTCTTTTTTATTCTACCTGATTGAGGAAATAACTTTTCTTTTCAGAGCTGGAGCCTTACTCTGTTTCCCAGGCTGGAGTGCAGTGGCATGCCCACCATACCCTCAACCTGCTGGAAGTCCTTCTGCCTCAACTCGGGAAGTCCTTCTGCCTCAGCCTTCCAAATAGCTGGAACTACAGGCACATGCCACCACACCTGGCTAATTTTTTTTTTTTTAAGTTGGAGTCTCACTCCATCACCCAGACTGGAGTGCGGTGGCACGCTCCCAGCCACCACAGCCTCTACCTGCTGGGCTCTGGTGATTCTTCTGTCTCAGCCTTCTGAGTAGCCAGAATTACAGGCATGCACTACCACGCCCGGCTAGTTTTTGATTTATTGTAGAGATGAGGTCTCGCCAAGTTGCCCAGGCAGGTCTCGAACCCGCAGGCTCAGGCAGTCCACTTACCTCAGCCTGGGATTACAGGCTGAGCCACCGAGCCGGGCCTAATTTTTTGATTTATTATAGGGATGAGGTCTCGCCAAATTGCCCAGGCTGGTCTTAAACCCATCGACTCAGGTAATCCTCTCACCTCGGTCTCCCAAAGTGCTGGGATTATAGACTTGAGCCACTGTGTCTGGCATAAAAAAAAGTTTTTAAACTAGCTTGACATGGTGTAGTCCCAGCTACACAAGAGGCTGAGGTGGGAGGATGGTTTGAGCCCAGAAATTGGAGGCTGCAGTGAGCTATGATCATGCCAATGCACTCCAGCCTGAGTGACAGAGAGAGACTTTCTGAAAAACAAATAAAAACTCCCAGAAATACTTGAGTGTTGGGATAAAAAAGAGAGGTCAATGTATATTCTGAAGATTTACTGCAGATACAAACCTCACAACTCATCTGACACAGATAAGGCTTAAAAGAGTTCCGCTGTGATTTGCATCTCATTTATTTTTTTGAGTTGGAGTCTCACCTGTTGCCCAGACTAGAGTGCAGCGGCACGCTCCTGGTCACCGCAGCCTCGATCCACTGGGCTCCAGCAATCCTTCTGCCTCCGCCTTCCAAGAAGTGGCCAGAATTCCAGGTACATGGTACCACACCCAGCTAATTTTTTATTTATTGTAGAGATGAGGTCTCACCAAGTTGCCCAGGAGGGTTTCGAGCCCGTGGGCTCAGGCAATCCACTCACCTAGGCCTCCCAAAGTGCTGGGATTACAGGCTGAGCTACTGAGCCCGGCCTGCTTCTCATTTTTTAATTGCACAGTTTAACCTATATAATTCCTCGACAATAGCATGTGTATATATATTAACTTCCATGAGGAAAAGTTTTATAAAACTTAAATTATGACACTATATTTTTGTTTGCGGTTGTTTTTACCATGCACAGGTGAATCTTCATCAGCAAACAGATTTGGTTCTATTTCTTTCAAGGAACTTCTACCTTCAAGTCGGGCAAGGAGCTTACAAAAGAAAAAAACAGAGAAGAAAAACTCATTACTTAAAAAACTTAAAATCCTAGAATTAAACAACTTTCAAAAAGTCTGTAAGAAATACATCAGTTTTGACATTTGAAGGAAAATTTAAAATAGGAAATACAATTTGGAAGAAATATTGTGTTTAGTTGTTCTTTAAAATTTTCGCTTTTTGTTTATGTACCAAATACTGATGGTATAAGATGAATCCATGCCATCAAAATAATGGATTGTCTAGTTTAAGATATAGGAACAAACTGCTAATTGCCAAATATTTAACATCCTTATACCTTTTAATTAACTTTCTCACTGTACTTACCACACTTGTTATGCAATTATATGCTATATAAGTTCCCAAGCAGTTCCTTGGGGGCAGGGGACAAAGGAAGAAGGTATAGGAAAACTTGAGCTGTGTCTCAAAAGTAGTAACCTGTCAGGTGAGTGGGGCACAGGCAAGCAAACCAGGCATATGGAACAACGGCTGTCACAGCGCAGAGGTTACAAAGAGCATCGTGCATAGATATACTATAAGGAGATCTAAGTTGCTAAAGCTTATAGTATCACCCAGGCAGGAGATGGTGAAGTCCCAAGACAGAGCAGAAGTCAAAGCATGGGAGGTCTAGATACCATGTTTAGGAGGCTTACCTTTGGCTTCTAGACAAGAGCAACAGATTTGAAGCTAAGCAATGAGAAGCACAGTTAAGAGTAAAGAGTTGGATCTCCAGGCCAGACCTGCTAGGTCACTTCTCTGGGCCTTATGCTTCAAAGAACCTCCCTCATCAGGGTGTTGAGAGTTAAACATGTTAAAAAGTGCCTGTGATACAAGCACCATATAGGTATGAGTTAATACTATGTGCATTTTAAACAGATCCAATCTTCCCAGTAGCTAATAGAGGATAGATTTGAGGAAAAATCTGACATGGAGATAAGGCTGAGTCTGTCACACTAGTCTGAAGGAGGAGCGCCTATACCAGGACAGAAGCAGTTAGGATGACAGAAGCAGAATTTGGTGACTGACTTAAATATCAATGAGGAAATATCATCAAAGCTGATTCTCAAATCATGAGGAATTGGCACAGATTTGACAATTCTGTAAAACAAAAGAAATAAATGGAAAGAAAAAGTCACTCTTTGTGTGTGTGTGTTGTTTTCCAATAGAATGAAAAGTTTTGGAAAGAATTCCTAAGTGATGAAAAAATTAACAAAGTGGCCAGGTTCAGTGGCTCAGCCTGTAATCCCAGCGCTTTGGGAGGCCAAGGTGAGTGGAATGTCTGAGCCTGAAGGTTATAGACCTGCCCAGGCAACTTGGCGAGACCTCATCTCTACAGTAAATCAAATAATTAGCCGAGCATGGTAGTGCCTGCCTGTAGTTCCAGCTACTTGGAAGGCTGAGGCGGAAGGATCGGTGGAACCCAACAGATTGAGGCTGTGGTGGCCGGGAGCATGCCACTGCCCTCCAGTCTGGGCGACAGAGTGAGACTCCAACTCAAATAAATAAATACATAAATAAATAAATAAATAGCCGGGCGCAGTAGCGCGCGCCTGTAGTTCTGGCTACTTCGAAGGCTGAGGCGGGAGGAACGCCTGAGCCCAGCAGGTCGAGGCTGCGGTGGCCAGGAGCATGTCACTGCATTCTAGTCTGGGCGACAGAGTGAGATTCCAACTCAAAAAAAAACACACACAAATTAATTTAACGAGTATCTGTTGAATTTCTATTGCCACAAAATGCTATGCTAGGTAAAAGGGAGACCACAAAGATGAAGACAACCTACGCTGAAAGAACTTACAGTCTGAGTCCTCTAGAAGATGAAAGCATATTATAAAACATGGTAAAGATATAAAAATAGAAGGATCAGAGGGCTAAAGCAGAGATCCTGAAGGCACACCTGTGGACAGACTTATTTTCATAAAAATATAAGAAATAAATACTAATATGCTATTTGTTTTTTTGACTAGGCTGTCATTTACACCAATGGCATAAAAGCATCAAGGGTAAAACTGCTGACACATAGGGCAGTCAAGGCAATGGCATGGAAATGTATTAGTACACACTGTATTCTTTACCATGTGTTCACCATGCACTACACACTCAACTAGAACAAACCAGTTTTACAGTCTTTGGTGAAGCAGTAAAACTGACTTGTTTTAATAAATCATGAACCTGAAGTACACTTTAAAAATATTCTTTGTGCCAAGCATGGCGGCTCACAACTGTAATCCCAGCACTTTGGGAAGCAGAGATGAGAGGATTGCCTGAGTCCATGAGTTTGAGATCAGCCTGGACAATATCTTTTGACTTACTGCGAGACCTCATCTCTACAACAAATCAAAAAATTAGCCAGTAGTGGTGGCACATGCCTGCAGTTCCAGCTACTTGGAAAGCTGAAGCAGAAGAATCTCCTGAGCCCAGCAGGTTGAGGCTGCGATGGCTATGAACGTGCCACTGCACTCCAGCCTGGGCAACAGAGTATGAGACTCCTAATAAAAAAAAAAAATCTTTGTGATGACATGGAAGCAGACTGTAGTAGTAAATAACTTTGCCCAAAGAATGGTATGGCCTTTACCCTTGGTTCCTGAAAGGTAATCTCTAAACCCTTAGAATGTCCTGCCTGATAAAATCTGGGGCCTTAAGTCTTAAGACACCAGATAGTCTTAAGAATGTGATTTATGATGGGCTCGGTGGCTCAGCCTATAATCCCGCGCCTTTGGGAGGCTGAGGTGAGTGGATTGCCTGAGCCTGCGGGTTCGAGACCCACCTGGGCAGCGAGACCTCATCTCTACAATAAACCAAAAATCAGCTGGGCGTGGTAGCGCACGCCTGTAATTCCGGCTACTTGGAAGGGTGCGGTGGCCGGGAGCGGCCACTGCACTCCAGTCTGGGTAACAGAGTGAGACTCCAACTCAAAAAAAAAAGAATGTGATTTATTGTGGGGGCTTAGAGCCATGTTGTATAAGGTCCACCTTCTGGAAATGCTGGAGGCTAAGGTCATCCATGTGGGCAGCTGACGATGTCCGATGTCCACAGAACCCCAACAAAGGCTCTGGACACCAGGTTTGGTTACAATTCCCTGGCTAGCAATGTTCTGGCTGTTGTCGCACAGGGATGCTGGGAAAATTAAGCCCTGTCCACTGGGAATTCCAGCTTCTTGGAAGAGTGAGGTAAAAGAATCGCCTGAGGCCAGGCTCGGTGGCTCAGCCTGTAATCCCAGCACTTTGGGAGGCCTAGGTGAGTGGACTGCCTGAGCCCGCGGGTTTGAGACCCACCTGGGCAACTTGAGGAGACCTCATCTCTACAATAAATCAAAAATTAGCCGGGCGTGGTAGCACATGCCTGTGGTTCCAGCTACTTGGAAGGCTGAGGTGGAAGGATCGCCGGAGCCCAGCAGGTCGAGGCTGCGGTGGCCGGAGCGGCCACTGCACTCCAGCCTGGGTGATAGAGTGAGAATCCAATTAAAAAAAAAAAAGAATCGCCTGAGCCCAGCAGGACGAGGCTGCAGTAGCTGTGAGCATGTCATTGCACTCCAGCCTGGGCTCCAGAGTGAGACTCCGAGTCAAAAAAATAAAAAAATAAAATTCACTCAAACTATAAGACAAACCTCTTTTTTTTTTTTTGAGTTGGAGTCTCACTCTGTCACTCAGGCTGGAGTGCAATGGCACGTTCACAGCCACCGCAGCCTCAACCGGCTGGGCTCAGTTGATCCTTCCATCTTAGCCTTCTAAGTAGCTGTAACTACAGGCACATGCTACCATGCCTGGCTAATTTTTTTTTTTTAATTTATTGTGGAGATGAGGTCTTGCCATGTTTTCCAGGCTGGTCTGGAATTCACGGGCTCAGGCAATCCTCTCACCTCAGCCTCCCAAAATGCTAAAATTATAGGCCTGAGCCACTGCGTCTGGCCTAAGACAAACCTCTTAATGTATTAATACTGATACAATTTTATATCCCACATTACAATTAACCCTTAGGAAAACTACTACTTGTCAAAGTTTGGTATAATATCAAAAAAGAATATCTACAATTATCTAAAAAGTTTTTAAAATACTATGTTATTTATGATAATATTGAAAAATATCTACAATTATCTAAAAAGGTTTTTTACGACAATATTCAATAGGTTTATTTATGGTAATATTCACGATAAGTTATGTTATTTATGATAATATTCAACGGGTTTATTATCACTTGTACATTAATGCAAATATTTAAAATGGGTCAGGCGCCGTGGCTCATGCCTATTATCCTAGCACTTTGGGAGGCACAAGTGATAGGGTTGCCTTAGCCCATGGGTTCGAGACCAGCCTGGGCAAGTTGGAAAGATCTCATCTGTACAATAAATTTTTTAAAAAATTAGCTGAGTATGGTGGTACATGCCTGTAGTTCCTGCTACTTGGAAGGCTGAGGCGGAAGGATCACCTGAGCCCAGATGGTAGAGGCTGCGGTAGATGTGAGCATGCCACTGCACTCCAGCCTAGGTGACAGAGTGAGACTCCAACTCTAAAAAGAAAAAACTATATACCTCAGTTTCACTGACTGATATAACCCACAAAAAAAGCTCTTTGCAACCTTCAGTAATTTTTAAATGTGTAATGTAGTCCTAAGACAAAAAAGTATAAGAACCACCGAGTTAAAAGATTCAGAGTCAGCCGGGCTCGGTGGCTCAGCCTGTAATCCCGCGCCTTTGGGAGGCTGAGGTGAGTGGATTGCCTGAGCCCGCGGGTTCGAGACCCTCCTGGGCAGCGAGACCTCATCTCTACAATAAATCAAAAAATCAGCCGGGCATGGTAGTGCATGCCTGTAATTCCGGCTACTCGGAAGGCTGAGGCGGAAGGCTGAGGCGAAAGGATCGCCAGAGCCCAGCAGGCGAGGCTGCGGTGACTGGGAGCGGCCACTGCACTCCAGTCTGGGCGACAGAGTGAGACATCAACTCAAAAAAAAAAAGATTCAGAGTCTAACTTGAAGGAAAAAACTTCATGGACAAGATAGAGCA